TATTTTTGCCACATGCATTTACTCCCAAAGCATTTGGAGCCGCATATGTTGTTGGTGGGGTTTTTCTCTTGTTTTTCCTGACAAGGCCCTCGATCTGCTTACTCAGCTTTGCTCACTGCTAGTCCCTCAAGATGTTAAAGATTGTTGGGTCCTCTCCATATTTACTACTGCTTGGGCTATCTGGTATTTTAGAAATGGAATTGCTTTCAATAAACTTGAATGGGATGAGGACAATTTAATCGAGCTAGTAAAGACCAAAACATTTGCTTGGATAAAAGGTAAATTGAAACCTGTTGCTTTTTGTTTTAGTGACTGGTGTCAATTCTCAAAATTATGTACTACTCATTTTTAATATGACACAGCACTTATCCTAATGTAATGGGCGAGTACCCCTCGTACTCATAGTTTATAATACATTTTTATTCATCAAAAAAAATTTACCATAATTCTTGAAATTTCCAAATTTAGCAATTGATTTGTTATGGTTGAAACGAAGGTGCAATATTTAATAATATATATCTTAAATTGTTGAATTTGAAAACCATTGGCTAAATTGAGATTTACCTGTGTTTAAGTAGATATTAACTCATTGAATTAATATAGTATAGTTAGGGACTAAATTATCATGATAAGTAGCATATAGACCCAATTGAATTTATCTGAAAATGTCAGGAAGCACCCACCCAAATTACCATAAAAATGAAATAAAGAATAATAATTTTTGTGCTGGGACCAGCTAGCTGGGCAGAAAGAATAGGACCAAAGAGAGAACAGGAGGGTTTTTTTTTTTTTTTTTCATTTTTTCATTTTTCTTTTTATATCTTAGAACAGGAGGTATTTTTGGAACCAAAGATCCTCCATAAAAGTTACTTTGGGGGTTGCAATTTGCAAATACGTCCTTGTCATTTTCTCTATTTCCCATATTCTCCTCAATTCTCCTCAATAAAGTTTTTTAAAGTTCTGAAATGAACTAAAGAGAAAAGTCTTTCAAAAACTCAAATTTAATAACTGCCTCCAATTAGAGTTACAAGCCCTTTAAATAGGGAAAAATAATTCTAATCAAAATAAGAAACTAACACCTTAAGTTCTAAACTTAATTAATAACCACGAATTGAATTTCAAATAAATGAATGTTCAGCCTAAAAATAATACAAAAAATGTAAAAATCATTGAAAATATCCTAAAGTAACATAAAATATCAATTTGTTACAAATTGCGACAAAATTGCGGGATTTTGATGCAAACCGTGTAATTCAGTATAAATGACCTCAATTAAACTTCTTTTGAAATTGAATGATGTTTACCACATCTTGATAATCATCCAAGCTTCGATTTACTTGTTTCATGTTGTTATCAACCTAGGTTTACTCAAGAAGACCATTTAAAGTTTTTCATATCTTCTTAGCTTTAGCTCTCTTAATTGGACCTCCTGGAAAATGTAATAGATCTCTTGACATGGTACATATGCGGTCATCTTGATTCCCATCAATTCACCTGAACCCTCAAAATCATGTTTAATTTGAGCCATGAAATAAAGAGTAATAGCCTCCCCTTTCACTAAGCTCTTATAGGTTAATTGATGATTAGAGCACTCGTGTACTAAGTGGTAGGTATAGAATTTGACTCTCAATGAAAGCAACTCTTTTTTGTCTTTGATCCAATCACTTAAACAATTTTATATGCACCATGTTGTATCATGAAAGTAATGAAATTGTAGATGCCTTGTTAATAAAAATTACACAATATCATGTTGTTGTAAGGTTTTATTGTTAATAAGTTGTTAAAAAGCCATTTTTCTCTTTTCATTATCATTTTTATTAATTTTACAAAAAAAAAAAAATAAGCAAAATCTGGTTTTAACTTATCTGAAAGCACTTTTACAAATGATTAAAAAAATTCAAATAAAGAAAAGGAAGGGCCAAGAGAATGTCACGTT